GTGTTGAGCTACTGCTGATGGCCTTGTGTCCACAGAGGGCGAGTACCTCTGTATTGTATCTTCCCACATTTTCCATTTTGTATGCAAAATCGTCTTGGGACATTCCTCTGCTTGTTGATGGATACCCAAAGGATACTGATCAGTTCAGCCTGGTTTCTCTTTTCTCTTCCTTAATGGTCACAGAATGATATTTTAGTTCTGGAAAGGGAATCTTTTAAACTTCACACATTAGCTATAGACTCTACCCTGCACAGAGTAAACAGTGTCAGGCAGACAGGAGGAGGTCTAGGGTTATGAAAATGGGCATTCAACACCATGGACCTCAGGAAAGCTCCGTGTTCATACAGAGACAGAGCTGACATGACTCCACACTAAAGCATAGAAGACTGGCAAGGGCAGGAGCAGCACGTGTTTGGATGCACGAAGACTCCACATTATGAAAACCTTCCCAAAACAATACAGAGGAAAAAAATAAAGTGTTTCAAAATTTGAGCCCAAAGGAAAAGCAAATTGACGTCTAACAAAAGACTTATTTTCTTCTCCCATAGAGAGGTATCTGCCACTTACTCGAGCTGGCAAGGCAGCGTCTCAAAAGGCAATTTAACCAAGTTGCATAAGGCCTTGGCTGGGTGGCTGTAGAAATATAGGGCCTCTTATCTGAATGCTGGCCACAGCTGTTGCAGATCTTGAAGGAATTATTTCTGTGCCTGTCAAACATCTGCTTTGTAAGCAAACAAAGAGGCTAAAACACTAGTGGTGCACATGACATGCTGCAACTCATGAGGCAGAGCCAGGAGGCAGTAAATGGGAACTCTTTCTCCCTGGCATCAGAATCCTGATGTCTCATGAGTGTCTTCAATGAATGGATAGGCCCTAATCCCTCTGCGTTATATAGACCTGTGCCTTGTCATAGAAAAAGAGCCAGTGTGGTCCAAGCGCTGATCTCAGTGCCTTTTGTAAGTTATAAATCATCTACAACTGTCCTGAATATTCTGGCATGTAGCCTACAGAACTACATTTACTTTCTCTCACACCACATAGGAATTATTCCATAAAAATGCGGGTAAACCCAAAAGGGCTGATGCTAAAAATCAGGATGTGCATTGGAGCCCTTTGACATTAAGCATCTTTTTCCTTTTGTGTTTTCCCTCCCTTAGAAATCCCTAAATTTTTCCTCTACAACAGTCACAGTGTTAATCAAAGCCGCTGCCCTTCTGTATCTCTGGTAGTCTCCCCATTACCAGCACTCCCACAGTACACAATAAATCCCCTCTGGGAGCCTGACCACAGGGAGTGTGGGGTGCCTGTATACTGGGTAACAAGAATACTTTGTGTTCTCTTGTGTGTGTTTTTATGCTACCACCAGCCACATGAAAACGCTTGACAGCTGCCCATTGCTGTGCTTCTGTGCATGTGGGTCTGCAACATGAACTTCACTCTCCCAAAATGTAGATGCTGTGGAAGAATCCAGTCCAAATATGAGGACTGGCCACCATATGAGGGTACTGATTTTGTGTTTTGTCCATTCAAAACTTTCCTTCATTGTGCTTTATCAAAAACCACTAGCACTGAAGAGGAGTATGGATGGATGAACAATCAGATAAATTAACGTAAAAGGGTGACCTGAGGTCTTTCTCATCTGTTTTTCCCTTGGCAGAGACTTCTAGGTGTTCCTGCAGTGTGTTCCTGAGCCGTTTATCCACGACTTTTTGAAATTCTCTTAGTTCAATGTGACACAGCTCCACATTTTCTTTATATGTATAATCAAATGCAAACAATTAAGATTGCCTAACTGAGCTCTGTGCCAACAGGTAACTACAGTTCAAAGGACCTTTTACGCAGTTAACAGGTTGGACAGCATTTCCTTCCACACCCTTCAAACAAAGTTATGGTGTAACATCTAACAGAATTTTCCTGTTAAAATCTGCAGTTCTAGGGTGAGCTCTAAGGCCAGTTGATTGAGGCCCCAGGTAATGAAGGACACTTCTAGGCTGAGTAGAAAATCAGTGCATGACATTCAGTTTTCAACTGAAGAAGTGGGAACACATCCATTTCGGGCTCCATGCAATACCACAAAGCTATTGCCAGTTCTCTGTGTGTCAGCTGGAAACTAACAAAGCAGTATCACCTTGCAACAAAGACAATCTTATCAAGGACTTCCAGCTAATTTCCATTCCTGCTATGTTGCTGCAGTTTTAATCTCATTATTCTCAATGACACGGGGAGGAGGAGGTGTTAATATAAAGGAAGATTGTGTTTCTAGTTACTGCTTAACACTATAGGCAGAGAGAGTGGGTTTTGTTCTAAGCTTTGCCATAAATCTGGGTTGATTAACATACCTTTGCCTCATGGCTTTAAATCTGCAAAGCGTTGTGAGCAGTTAGCTGAGAATTTAAAATCATTACTATATTTACAATGCTTTTTCTGGAAGATAGTGCAGGTGGTTTGGCTATATGTGCCATAGGAGACATCACCCCCAAGTGTCTGCTCAGATAACGTATTTTGGAGATTTGCGTAGTTAAGTTTGTGCTCATCATACACGTGGGTAGCTGGATTTAGTTTAGCTAGGGCTGGAGGTGGTATTTGGCTAGACATGTGTCTTGTTGTGTGAATGGAATCTGAATGTTCAAAGAAAGGAGGGCAGCAGGGAACTGACTCAGCCAAGACTGGCTGTGAGATATGGGGCTCTTCAGCTCCCAGGTTCAAATCCAATAAAGTTAATAGAAATCAGATGGCTTTCTTACCATCTGGCAGCCAGTTGGAAGCTTTGTGTGCATTGTATAGGTGAATTTTACCATCAGGTTATGGGGCAAGTGACTTCATTAGCTCTAAGGGCAAGCTGGGAACAGGGAAGAAAACTGGATAAAGTTTTCTTCAACCTGAATGAATGAATGGCCAGTCTGGGCTCGTTTCTTCAACCTAGAGTAGTGGTGTGGTACTTTTAAGGAGTGAGGTGTAGGAGGAATGAAATAAGTCTTAGTCTTATAGCTTACTTTTCTTATAGAGAAGGACAGACTTTACAGCTCACAAATACCAAGGTTTCTTCCTGGGAAATCAAGTAGGTCGGAGTCTTCTATAAGCTCTGTGGTCCTTCCCATGAAGTTGGATGATGGTTCTGAAGCATCAGGAAAACTCACAGCTCCAACCACACATTTTATTTGTTTGTTTTAGAAGGAAGAACTCTGTTGAAAAAAGTTTCTTTTGTCTTCATGTAAAGATGGATGTGAACACAAGGGAGAGGTAAAAAAGGGATAGTTTGCTGGGATGACCAGAGCAGGATGTTAAATCATACAGTGACTCATGGGTGTACAGTGATATTATAAAACCTGCACTGTGTGCTCTGGCCTTGTGTCACCTCATGGTTTTCAAAGCAATATTATGCCTCAGTTGGTGGCCATTTCACAGCAGCCCATGGCTACAAGAACACAAGTGTTGTGATTCCTGAAATACTCTGCTAATTTGATAACAGATGCCAAGACACTTTGCAGTCTACCAGGAGGAGAAAGGGGTTTCCAAATTTCTGCCCAGCCCAGTCTCAGCCCTGGTCGAAGCCCTCATTTCTTCACAGATGCTTGTGAAAAGTAACGAGGGAGTGGTGTACTTCTTTCAGTAGGGGTTTAGTTAACAGCCCTGGGCAGGACACTGGAAGGAAGGCGGCTATTTTTAACAATTTCTCACTTTGTTTCTTCCCTCCACAGAGCTGAGGGCTCCCTGGGGGTGGCAGCTGCAGCTGTCAGGGGCTGTGACTGTCTGAAAGCATCCATGTGCCCAGGGACATCAGTTTTGCTGATGGGGTTTGGGGTTGGGCAGGAGGTTTGTGGGCCCTGTGGTGGGTGGGCTCAGTTTGCAGGTGTGTATGTTAAAAGCAGCTGTGTTAAATTGTATTTACTATAGGAGTAAGTGGTCTGGCTGCTCTGGAGGTGGGAGAGGTGTTGGAGTAGAGCCCTGCCTAGATGGAG